AATGGATTCGTATTTTTGTGATAGGAATAAAGTGAAGCATAGGCATTAGCATAAGGCATCGGCATAAGCACTTAAATATAGTAAAATATTGTCATTGAAAAAAAGCTATAGATACCTAAATGAAAGGTTATTTTTGAGAGAAAATAACGTTGCCTTTAAAGTGGATTGTAAAATATATATACTCTGATGATATTCAAAAAGGTCATTTACTTGGCAGAATACTTGTGGACTAATTTCATACTAGAATACAAGATGAAACATACAAAACAACAAATGTCACTTGAAAAAAAGTTAAATGTATATAGTAAATAACATGACAATTGTGCGAGCTTACCAATATTAAAAATTAAAATCTATGTTTATATAAATAAGGGGTTAAAATGTATATTATATTAATCGTATATGTACTTGAAATTTAAAAAAAAAACTTCAAAAATAATAATTGTAATTTTTGAATAGCACTACATAAGTAATGATTATTGTGTATTTTTTTTTATTGAAAAATAAATAAATAATAAAATTTACAATTGTTTAAATTAAAATAAACCAAATGTGTACCTAACCTATATTTGGTGTGCCATTACAAGTATCTGGATGACTCATTAGTGACACTTCTCCGGTAATGCTAGGAATTAAGAATAATATACATAATATAATATGATTATTAAAAATATTTTTATTTTAATTTAAATATTATGTAAAAAAAATGTAGATAAAGGACATGATTACACCATCCATGAGTACTAATTCTGAAAAATATAGGTAATTTCTGGAATATATAAATATTTGTCCAATTTCAATAAAATACTTGAGAGTATAATTTGAAGTACTTTTTATAACAACTTCATGGCTTTGGAGTAGTATTACTTATTAAATGAAAGCGATTGTTTTTATTTCATTATTTTATATTATATCATTGTCAAATGATCCATTATTCATTATAGTACATTTAGTTAAAAGAAACAATAACAAATTTATTTTTAAACTATAATTTTAGGATGTATATTATAAACAAAGTTTGAGTTTGGGCTTTAACAAAAAATATACATATGAAAATGTATGTACAGGAAGATGTGACAAATAAAATAACTTTGGTTCTCATCAATGTTTTACATTTTTTATTTGATGTTCTTATATAATTTATTGACTTTTACTCCACACGTATTGTATAACATTTTATTTTTTTATTATTTAATACTGAACATTTTAAATTTTAAATTTGATTGAAATATATTTGAAAAGTTCAAAATGGCCAATTTGTAAATCTAATTTTTAGAATAATTTTGATTTTAAAAACATTTATTTAAGTTGTGTAATTTTATACAATTTTCATTAAATCGTGTGATCCACGCATAAGGAACATTTCAAATTTAAAAAGTATTAACATTTTGAAAAAAATTTAAAAATAATTTTGAGTAAGTACTTGTTGTAATCTAAATATATTTTTTTAAATTTGTTACTTATTACGTTAAAAACAATTAAAAACTAAAACACACAGTTTAGTTAAATGTTTTTACAATAAATATTTTCTAAAATCCAGATTTACAAATTGGCCATTTTAAATTTTGGATAAGTGCATCGCGTTCAATCATGTATTACTTTTCATTACAAATCTTAAGTACTACTTTACAAACGCTATAATTATACTCTCAAAAATTAATATTATAAAATAATCATTTCGTACATCATCTAATTTCTAAATCGTAATTATCGTTCTTAAATGATTGTATTAATAATGAATATTTATTAACTGAATAGTCTTATCAATCTCGCTAGATCGTGATTAGGTTATCATGGAATTATAATATTTCGGAAAATTAGAGCTATTATACTCTGTGACTTTTTAATCGAATGGCATAAACGCATATACCTATATTGCTTATATTACCATTGATTATACATTATTACAATTTCGTTCGATACTTATTAGCTATTACTTATTACTATTGCTCTGATCTAAATGTACTTTAAAAACCAAAATATATAACTATGTCAGTATATATATAATAAAACAATTTAAATGTGGAAGGTTATAAAAAAAATACAAAACAAAACTGCAAACAATGCGATTTATATAAATTATATAATTAAATCTTATTCTGGCTCTTGGTTACAATATACATACTCAAATTGTCAAAGTTAAATGCAACCTGCAATAATTTTCCATTTTTTTCGAAGTTTAATATACATCTCCGATTTCGAAAAGTGAATCTAGTTGGTGCATTCGGGTGGTCGATATATAGACAATTTCCAGTAGTTTTCAAAAGCGTCAAGAAAACAAAAACAAAATGAGGGGAAAATGGGAATTTTCGATTTTTTTTAATTTTTTTTGGGTGTTACTGGAATGAAATGTTCACATAATATTTATATTGGCATTTTCCATATATAGTAACATTTCAAAATATTTAAACTCTTTTTGAGCTATTATAATCTATTTAAGACTATATAAGTCTTAAATAATTTTTATATTATGGTCTATAAAAACTTTTTCACCTAGTAATAGTAAGCTGTTTTAATAAAAGTTTAAAAATATTAAATATTATGTATATTCACATAGGCACAATTATTTTTCATTATTAAAGTTCAAAGTTTGACAAAATTAATCAAATTCCTTGAAATGTGAAAATTATTTTTCAGTTGGAAATTCATAAAAATTTTATTTTCTTAGCTTACATTAAACATCTTCAAAGAAGATTCCCCACAAGTTTTTCTATCTTCGACAAAAAAAAAAAATTACTAGAAAGTAATATTAATTTTTTATGAGCTTTTGAATTTAAAAGGTTCACGATATTTGATAATCAGCGGTAAATGAACGAATTCTAAATCATCGAATTTTGCTCTTTTGTTATAATTCAAAAACTTGTAACAGTAGACACCTTAAATTTTCACCAAACATTTATACTAACATTTTTCACACATGGTAAATATTTTGGTATCACAAGTTTATCACTTCAAAGAAAAAGTTTACCAGAAAGTTATGCTGTTTATAGCCATGAGATGTTACTATTAATTTTTTTTAGTTATGAAATTTGATTATTTATACAAGCATTCCAGAATGACACAACGTCTCCGTTCAGGATCGTTCTTCTTGTGCAAACAATGGCATACATGACAACTACTGTAAAGAAAAGCGGTATCCACTAGTCTACCTTTTAATAAATTTCAATTAAATACACAAATAGATCCAGATCACTGTAAGTACTGGGTTATCACACACATAAGCGCCATGTAGACAGGTGCCAAGGTGCTTGAGCACCTATTGAAATTTGTTTGGGGTGGTGAGCACTCTATAAAAAACGAGTTCAAATTTTATTAATAATTAATATGATACAAAAAAAAAATTATTTCGAAAAAAAATTAAAATAAATAGATGGATAATATTATTATGTGTAAAACAACATACAATTCATTCATATCAGGATGATGTTTTTGTATAGTCTATGTATATCTATTTAGTTGTATCTGAAATGTCTTAAGCTTCTTTGATACAACAGATTAATTAGTTTTCGGACTGTTTATCTTGAATTCTAATGTTCTAACTCAATTTAAACTAAAAATAACAAACTTCCGTGATCAATGTTATGGTGGTAATGCAAATGTAAGTGGCCATATCACTATTATTAAGAATGGACAACTAAAGCCTATACACACTATTTCTTTAATGGCAAAAAAATTCTTTTCCCTTAGAACATCCAATGATTTTTGAAATTTTGGCGTCACGTGTGAACGACTCGACCTCGTATTGAATTTTGAAACAATGATAATATAACTAATTAGTAATTATTGTACTCATGACTCAGGTATACATAAATATTTTTTTTTATTAATTTTAATTTTAATAGTTTATTAGGTATAGGTACCTACTATTTATAATTTAAGTACCTAATACATAAATCTGTACTCCTATTCCTATTTTAGTTTTTATACTTATACATATAGAACCTATATTACGCACCTGCAGACCCTTTCTTAAGCTTAAATGTATGGTTTCTTTATACTCTACCATAAATAATATAACCATTGTACAACGCTATATAGGCTTCAAACATTAAACTTATGCAGTTATAACAAAATCATTGACCATCACGAGTTTTTACTTTTTAAGTACCTACCTACCATGTTAGTTAGTATCGTCATTGGTCATTAAGCAAATATTTGATATTTCCAAACAGTATATTATCTTTCTGTCAGCTGTCACATACGTGATGCAACCTTATCATCGCGTGTGTTTAATAACATACCATAATATTATTATAGGTAATACAATAATTATAATTGGAAATAAATTAACAATTTAAATTTAAAATATTAGTTATGCTATACTTCAAATGAACTAGTCAACTTACCTAACATTACTTACAAGTCACATTATTAATATTTCCCACTTTGGTTTTGTTTTACTACTTTTCGTGCTTATTTATACATCAGTTACGAATAAACTTACAACTGTTGTACGTTTATACTCACGGCCTACCAATTTATCACATGTAATTATTCAATTATTTTTTATTGACGAATTAATTGCCAGTATAATCGAATTTATTGTTTATAATTACAATATAAAATTGCTATAATAATTGTACTCATCGATTCGTTACATCTTGCTTATACCTAAGCTGTTTAACTGTAAGATTATTATTTTTTTTTCATTATCCAAATACTACCTAAGTAAATATAATAATGTAAAAATCTACATCTACATCTACCTAATTGGATATAATAATTATACATTTACATTTTACATTATTGACAATTTAGATTCCATTCACTAGAAGAGTAGTTATGGTTCAGTGAGATGTAGCAGTATTGTGATATAGGTGGTAGGAATGTACCTATATATACTTACCTACATATTGTAACTTACAATAATAATAAATTCAGCGTCTAATGATGAAATAACTAGGTCGGAAAACATAAATATTTTATACACTTAAAATTAACATTAATATCTATATAGTGTAGGTTTTGGTAAAAAAATATTTTTAGTGTTTTATACTCACGCCGGAATCACCTCCAGGGCGTCTTCAAACTGCAATACAATAACAAGAATATTGTTGTTAATATTATTGATCTCAGTATAGTTCATATAAGTTAATGTGTATATAATAGGTATTAGATAAGTAAAATAGACACCATAATATAAACCTAAGTCTATAGCTATATGATATTTGTATATTTATATATATATACAGTATACTATTAAATAGGAACACGCTTTGATGATTTTAATATCCTACAATCTTGTCATCTCGACGTGACATTTGATCGGAATCTCGACGGTTCGATATTATAATGACAAAGGTCGTATATTTTACCTCGTCCTCGCCATCGCCGCAGTCACCCATCTCGACTGACAGAGTGTGTTGGGGGAAAACGCTGGGCGCGGGAAGTTGCAGATAATATTATTATGTCACCGTCCGGCGGGAAAAAAGATGCATATAATATTTATGGAGTACAATGTGCAGGGTTTTGACCACGAAATCGCTGAAAATGCCACCTGACGCTCTGCTCGTATTGTGTAGAAAACAAAACGATGACAAATCAACGTGATGTAGATCGTAGGCACAATATTATATTATATTCAAACGTAAAGCGATTGTTCGACCGGACGACAAAGCAGCGCAGGCGTACGCGTGACCCGGCAAACTGCAACTGACGTCTGACTACCAAGTACCATGTACACTGGCGAACCAACGCGGCGCGACGCGAGCAGCTGCTCCGCTCACGGAATGATACGATGCGCGCCGACGCACTGACGTATTATTTATTATTATTATGATTATTGTTATTCATAATAATATTATGATGATCGCGTCGCTCGTTCGTGGTACAACAATAATGCCTATGTTGTTATAAATATTTACAATAACATTGTGTCGTAAGTTTATAGTTTTTTTTTTTTTTTAATCGAAACCCCTTCCCCCCACACACGTACATGTATATCATGACACGACTCAATCCCGGTCCTAAAAAACCGCGACAGCCTTGACCTGGTTAGGCGCCGTGAAAGCAGTGCGGCAGAGGATGATAAATAATATGTAACATATTATACAATTGTCAATTAAATTGTTTAAATATTATATTAGAAAAAATAATACATCAAAACATTGCGGTACATTGTGGTATCATCAACACTGTTATCGTGGTCCGGGAGGCGGCGTATGACACCCATCCCGAGGCGGCATGTTATCACTGCGACGACTCACGCGTGTTCGCGAACGTATCTACCAGTCTACCACCGCGGTGATTACGATAATATTATTTTCATATTTCGTCCCTGCACGCAGAACAGTTCAAGTCCTAGAAGGTTGAATTAGTTTTTGCCAAAACAATTATATTCGAAAATTAAATTGCGCGTATAAAGCACAATAAAATAATAATATAGGTACTTTAAAAAGCTTGAAGTACCCACAAATAATATTTTTCAATTACAACAAAGTAAATAAAATTGTTATTCTTTATTTAAATATCCAATTTCGTCCAAATTTGAAATTAAAAGTTAAAATAACTATTAAAAACTGTTTTTATGTTACTGTATGAATTACTTATAGTTTTGACTTAAATACTTAATAGAAACCTTGTTTTGAATTTTCAATGCTTAGCTATACAAATTGAGCATTTATATATTTAATACATTTTTAATTACAAATTAATTTGCGAATTTTTGTGATTTTGATACATTTTGTCAAAATATAAATGCTTACAAAAAAATCATTCACACATTATACCTTTAGTACTTTTAAACTGCTATTATAACAACTTATAAAAACGTTGCGTATTAAATTTCCAAACTTTTTGATCAAGTAAATTTTTATGTTATCGATATTTGTAGAAAAAATTGAAAAGTATTTGTATACCTATGGCTTAAAAAGAGTGAAAATATTTTTAAAACTATACCATGTATAGAAAATGATAATTTAAACATTTCAAATATCTACAACTATTTTTTTTTTTTTTTTTTACTCATTGCAACAAAATAAGAAAATTGTTAATTGAAGGGTGAATATCCACAGTAAAGATTTGAATTGAAAACCCTAATAAAAATTATTTTAACTATGAAGCAAACTTTTTTGTTTTGTTAAAGGATTAAAACTAATGAGGAATCTTGTATAAATTCTTCAAATCCTAAATATAAATAGACAATATTTTAAGAATTTCTAACTCAAAATAGTTTGTACATTTTTGCGATTTTACATTAAATTATATAATTAAAATACAGTCTTATCTTATATTAGTCTTAATATTTTTGATGTTTTGAAGAACTTTATTAAATAACTTTCTTTTCTAGACCAAAATACTAATTATTTTTTAATAATAAATTGTCTTTAACTTTAATTTTTAAATGTTATTTTAGATATTAAATAATTTTAAAGTTCATCCACTTATGTTAGGTAAGTAGTTTAGTGTATAATGAGTTTGTCTATTTTTATTTTTATTTTCATGAGTTTTTATGTAAAAGATATATATTATTTAGGAGACAGCTATAATATGAAAGAATAAGGCACGTCACATACTTATGTATACTAATTAAACAGTTATTAAATACTTCAGTTTTTAATTTTGGACGTTTGATAACTGTGGCATAGTGGTCGAGGGACATAATAATAGTGCAATGAACGGAATTCGATAACGGATCTTTCATAAAAAATTTAATTAATTTTTGGAAATAGAAATATACACCAAAAATATATTTACTTATTAAAATTCAAGTAAAATACCACTTAATTAATAACTTTTGAACCGATTAGCTATGTTTAAGTTCAAGTTCATCAATGTATCATAGTATAACCTCATCATAGCTTATGTAATAATAAGACAATATAATTTAAGTAAAATAGTTGTGCTTAATATGTAATACATATGTACATTTAGAATATCCTATGTTTAGCATAACCAACATTGGGCATTTGAACATTAATGGTTATTATTGTGATTTATCATTTATGACACCAACTATCGTGAATGCGTGTATTTCCAGTATTAAAAAAAAATAACCTATCGAAATAACATTATTTTTAAATCCAAACAACTATTCAAAAATTGCAAAATAAAACAAGGCAAAGGTAAAGTGTACCTTAGCTTTGTTTTACTGTACTAATACTTAATAAAGTAGTGATAAGTTGTCAACATTTAATTAGTACAATAAAACCTGATGTATGTGTTTTATACAATTTAAATGGATTTTCGGACTTAAGTGCATTTATTCGAACGGAGACGATTTCACATCCATACGTGTTAGAGGTGTAGACTATAACCACGATATAACAGGCGCCATCTTTCCAACGGTGGCGTATTCACTATTTTAATGATGGCCATTAATGCCGTCACACAATATTCATTTTTATTTATGAATATTCATTGATTCAATGATTCATCAATCATCATTATGTATATACATTTTTTTGTAAAATAAATTTAGTGTTGCCGATTTATAGGTGTTAATTCAAAAACTTTAATATCCGAAGTTTAATATAGTATAGTGATATTTCCTCAAATTTTTTATAGACGAACGATTCCTTAGAATACTGATTATACACAACGAAGCCTAAACCTAGGGTCATTAATATTGTTGCACAAATTATACTACGACACCATCATAATAATGTTTAGTGCAATGAAATATAGTCTGAGCATTTATACTTATCATTTTTATTGCAAGTGACTATATATAATGTCATAATATATTCTATGATTTGTACCAACTACCATTATGTTATTATTAATTATTACATATAATTTATATAAAATATAAATTAGATTTGTGTACTTTTATGTATATATAATTTGTATTTGTTTAACATTGGGTGGGGCCTTATAAGAGAAGTGGAATTTTACAATAGTGCCCCGAGGCTCCAAAATTCTAAATATGGCCTTGCAATGATAGGTATTATGCAACAAATATCAAAAATAAAATCAATTGTAGATGATGATTTAAAATAGTTTTCTAGATAAGTTTATGTTAGTGTAGAAGAAGAAAAATAAATTTTTAAGTCTAAGTTCAAAGAAATGTATGTTTTTCTAAGTACTTATACTATATTATAACATAGTATTATTATAATTATTTTTGTGCAGAATGTATTCGAAAATTGTATTCAAACATTCGATTTATTTTTCTTATAAATTATTTAAAATGTTTAAAAAAATCTGGAAACCACCTCTGCTGTATCTGATGGAAATGTAAAATTTGAATTGAACTTCTAATTTTTTGTAGTTATACAATAGGTTGAACTAATTTTTTCCAAAAATAAATCACATATAAACGATAATGAATTGTAAATTTGAGTATGTGTAGCACCCACTTACATCTAATAACATTTCTGTGAATTATATATAATTGATAAATAGATAAATAAATAAATAATAATCATTTTATATTATTGCTATAGCTATTATTATCTTATAAGTCAATACCGATTTAGACTGCAGGTAAACGAATTGTAGACCGGAATGGAATAGGTTTCGACATTTTTTCATGTTTTAATTAATTAATTATAGGTATTTAGGTACTGATGTGTTAAATGCATCTATGAATGCGTATATACTACTACGTCATGTCGCCTTTTTAGGTAGTTCAAAATGTTGGATTTTAAATACATTGGTATATACTTAAATGTCTTAGAGATATGGTGTTTTATTCTAGTCAGAATCTAAAATTAGTCGAACCAAACGTATTATCAATGAAAAAATAAATTAGTAACAATAATATAAGGTACGCATAGAAATATATTGGCTGAGATATCGTCTCCGATCAAAATCGTTTTTCGCAAGTATACAATGGGTTACTACTGTCATAAAAATCAAATTTAACACATCCATTATGTCATCTACTTCGTAAGGTACAGGTCGAAATCTACTATACAGCATAGCGAGGATTCCGGTATTTTTTATCGAAGTATTTATCAAGCGTTTTTTAATTTAAAATTATAGACACAAATGGGTATTGATTCAAATGATTTTCTCTATTTACTCTCCAAATAAAACAGTGTACAAATGCATGTAGGTAACTGAGCATAATACCCTGGCTTTGTGACTATAATGAGTAATGACTATGCAATATTATTATGGTGCATAAAATATGACGTAAGTATACACCTATGCCGTAATCCCTATTTTAACTATTCTGGCTGTTACGTGTTGTGCAGATAGAAGATACCTACTCAATTTCAGATGGTTAATAGTAATAATTGCTTTAAAGTATAGTAGTAATAGTGTTTTATTTTTTTACACAAGTAAACAAGTCTTGTTGCAATAAATTTCTGACAATCGATTACTTCTTCAAATACCATTGTTCTGTAATACCTACTGCAGTTTTTTAATATACCTCATTTCAAATTTGAGATAAGTGCATAATAGGCACATGTAGAACATAATATGGTACACATATTATTATAATATTATGTGTACCATTATCATTATTGTTGTAGCATGCTGCTAATCAAAAATATTCCTTCCACTCACAAATATCGTAAATTGTTTGTGGCTATTTAATTTCAAGCAGTTGTTGATAAAAATATACATTATTAGGTAATAGCTTAAAATGTATCAACAGTTTAATTTATTAATGTGTGGGTATATTCAGTATACATGTGTAATGTTGATGAAGTATTAAAGTATAGTCTAAAACTATGTAAGTATCTGCCAATCAACTGGTGTCCATAATTTCGGTAATTTGGGTATGTATTTTA